ATGGTGTATTATATGGTACACACTGTATAATGTATCCCCAATCCTCGCAAACAATCAGCATTTTTACAATTTCAACATACTTCATTCTGTGTGATTTCTGAGCCGTTTTCCTCATGGGGACCAACAAATGTCCCCACAGTGTCTAAATTTACTTGTGTTGCTATACTTGTGTATGTGTGAACATAATATAAGGAATACAGGATACACACACACACACATAAAAAGAGAGAATCTAAAATGAAACGTAAAAAATTCATCAAGAGCTTTATTACATGTTGTTTATGATGCGTGTTAGTTAAAAAATGTTAGAGAGTTCTTTATCACAGCAGTCATCCCCCCCTCTCTCCCTTTCTCTGTTTGAAATCGGCAGCGCTCCATCTTTTATTTGTTGAATTGGGTTACACTAAATGACAAGAATCGTGGCTGTCTGTGAGCGTCTGAACTGCTGCTCTGCAGAAATTGAGCTTCTTCTCTCCCAAAAAACACTCTCAGAAATATCAGCGCAAATGCGGTCAATTCAAAGTGAAGTTTATTTATAAGCTAATTTCGAGAGGATCATGTGCTTATGATTGCATGCAGCCGGTCAAGCATTATTTAATTTATGATTCACCAATCAGACGATTCCTAAGCCACTAAAACTACCCTGAGTTCCAAATAACAGCCATCTTCGTTTTGAAGAATCCCCCCTTCCACCCCTACTCATCGTCCTTTCCTAGATCGGTGGCACAGTGGCCCAGTGGTTAGCACTGTTGCCTCACAGCAAGAACGTCACTAGTTCTAGTCCTTACCAAGCCAGCCGACGTTTCTGTGTGGAGTTTACACGTTCTCACCATGCTCATGTGGGTTTCCCCTGGTTTCTCCGGTTTACTCCTACCGGCCAAAAACATACAACTTAAGTTAATTTAACTAATCCAAATCAGCGCCATAGACATGCTCCTAGTAAGTAGTTAACTCTTAAGAGCAATAACTAGCTGTTCATTAGCTACTTTGTGATGCAGACGGGCACACACTAATGGCGGATCTGCGTAAACAGATGTGCAGAAGTCCGACATTTGCTGACTGACAGTCTGACCTGCCTATCGGAATTATGGGAGATGTCGGTCCGACTCTATTTAATTGGATGAACATTTTTTAGTTTTATGCTTTACCCAGAATATAAAAATACATATAAACACATTTAGATCATTTAGTGTAATCATTACTATTGGACTGTGAAGAGACTTTCAACCAGCACAACAAAAAATGTTTTCTGAAGACAATCACCTACTGCACCTTTCAGGTTCAGTGGTCTAAAGTCTTCCTCACCCTTTTTCAGCTTTCATAGCTGTCCTCCTCTAGTTTCTTTGTCGGAAGCCCAGGAAATGTTGTTTTTATCCTTGCGAGAATCCAGACTGGCTTTGACATTTTCAACACAATTACTTGACTCACAATCCTGAAGGTCTTTTATAGCCCAGCTGTGTCTTACTGACAGTCTTCTGTCTCCTGTCCACTATTATCAATAAAACTGCTGCTGTGTGACAAAGAAAAAAAAAAGAAAGAATACTAATGCAAATTAATAATGTCCCACTGAGTTTGTGCTGTTAATTGTCTGGCATGGTTTGTTGTGCACTGCACCATGCTAAAAATAATAGTTACAGCTACATTTACAAATTTCCATCAAATGATAGTTTTGACGGGCGTCACAGGGGCGCAGTAGGTAGCACAATCACCTCACAGCCAGAATGTTGTGCAGCTGGGCCGGTTGGCATCTCTCTGTGGAGTTTGCATGTTCTCCCTGTGTTGGTGTGGGTATCCTCTAGGTCACAGGTGTCAAACTCAGTTTCAAAAGGGCCGCAGCTCTGCACAGTTTAGTTCCAACCCTAATTAAACACACCTGATCAAACTAATTGACGTTGTCTATCCACAAGATGGCGCCAGACCTGCATAATAAGCCCTTGCTCAATGTGTTCTCTTGAGCGCGAATTAAAAAGCTGAAAAACGGAAACCTCAAGGTTTTTAAGGTGGACCGGATAGAGTAAAAAGAAGCTGCGAATAAGAAGCTGGATTCAGCCTTGTCCCTCCTTATAGCAAACACAACAGCAGTCTGGTGGAAATCTCTGTAGACGGATGGCATTTCATGTCACGTTCAGCCTTATAATCCTAAAATGAGAGCAAAATTTGCTGTTTTTTCATAAGCTTAAAGGGGGTCGCACACCAGAAGCGCCGCTTCTCATTACGCTATAGAGAATCATTAAAACACTAGCTCTAAAGTGACAGTGGTGAATTAGTAACGGCTTCTGCTGTTCTGATGTCAGCTGCAGATTTGAATGAAGGGTGGAAGAAATTAGTTCCTAATATGAAAGAGTTTTCTTTTTTATGTACAAGATTGTGCCGTCGAACTGTTGTATAAATGCAATATCACACGAGTAGCAGTGTGCTATGGCTGTTTACTAGCACTGGTGGGGCCCTAAGGCAACGCACGCCTCCCACCAGTGCTGATATACAGCCATAGCACACTGGTACTCGTGTGATATTACTCATGTATATGTAAAACCCATTTTAAGGCGAAAATTATTAGCCCCTTTAAGCTATTTTTTTTTCCGGTAGTCTACAGAACACACCATCATTATACAATAACTTGCCTGATTACCCTAACTTACCTAGTTAACTTAACTAACCTAGTTAAGCCTTTAAATGTGACTTTAAGCTGTATAGAAGTGTCTTGAAAAATATCTAGTCTAATATTATTTACTGTCATCATGACAAAGATAAAATAAATCAGTTATTAGAGATGACTTGAATGTTAGAAATGTGTTGAAAAAATATTGTCACTGTTAAAAAGAAACCGGGGAAGAAATAAACAGGGGGCTAATCATTTAGGAGGCTAATAATTCTGACTTCAACTGTAAAATTGCAATATATCTGTATCAAATAATTGCATGTTAGTATTAAATAGCGCTAAATATTAGGTCTTCCTTTTTTCTTTCTGAGAAAGTTAAATAAGGAATTGGGCGTTTTTTTAATGCCACACGTGAAGTCAGAATCATCTTGCTTTCAAAATATTATCTTCCAATCATAAAGACCTATTTTTAAAACAGTGCCTTTTATCCAGTCACAAGAGAAAGCAAATGTGCCAAACATGAGAACTATTATTGTTTGTATATCTAAGAAAGCATAAGTGAAGCCCGGGGTTTAGATACAAGATAACACCGCCGTGGATGAAGCGTTCACACACTTCATAAACAACCTTCTTGAAACACGTCCTTAAAATACTCATTCCAGGCAGATTTACATCCAAAGGATGAAGAAAGTGCTCATTAGTTTGGAATAACAGATAAAATCATAAAAACTCTCAAAGGGTCTCAGGAGCATATACCCCTCCTTTCATCAGCGACGTTAGTTAAAAAAAACAACCTTTAATGTTAAGAAGGTATAAAGGTATTATTAAAGGGGTGGACCACTTCGATTTAATATTATAAACTTTAGTTGATGTGTAATGTAGCTGTGTAAACATAAACAACATCTCTAAATGTAAGACGCTCAAAGTTCAATGCAACGGTAGACTATGGCTGCGTCTACTACTCAGTAGGTACTGCATCTGAATTTAAACGTACTACTTGGCTGTTAGAAAAGTAAGTTCTATACAGTATGAATAGAATTTGGACGTACTACATCTGCCATTTTGTCATGGTCACGTGACCTACCTGCGTCAGTTGCGTTGCTTCAATCCCACTTCAGCATGCATGGGATGCACACTTCAGAATCTCGCCGGAAGTAGTAAGTCATTCGGGTACTTCTTGCATACTGAATTTCGAATTCTATGAATTAGGACATACAACTCGGCTGTCATACTGATTTTAAGGTACTGTATAGTATGGAAGTATGCGGTTTCGAAAAACAGCCATTGGCTTTTACAGAGTTAGCTTAGCAAAGCCTACAGTGAATGAAGTTTGAGGGCTACAAAAAAATACATACTGGTTAATAGTGTCATAAACTCTCAGTTAATGCACATAAACCTCGCACATTGAAGGGGTGTGGCCAAAGGCGCTGTAATGTCATAACAGCACATTATGTTAGCTGACCAATCACAGCCTCTTGATGGCGAGTCTTTAGAGGAACTAGCTAATATGACAGTCCTTTTCATGTTAGCAAAGTAGCTGTATATAGTTAAAGTAGGATATATGAAAAAATACCAGATTTTTCAACAGTGAACTGTGGTGTACAAAAATTTAGCCCTGGCACTGTAGCACAACGGCCCACAGTTCTACTAGTTAGCATGCTAGAAGTGGCTTGAAGCATTCTTTGGTATGGATATTTACTATTTGGAAATGACATAATCACATACATACCCACATAGCAAAATTTCTCTGGCCCAGCTCTGCCCCACACAATCAGGTTTTGCTTGGCCCACATGCAGCAGTGAATTACGGTACATGACTGGACCAAATCTGGCTTCCAGACAAGGGCCAAACACAGACCATATCTGGGCCAAGTCTCAGCCAAGTTAATAACTCATAACTGGGCCTGAACTGGGCCAGATAGGTTGGTGTGTCACAATTGCAATGAAATTGATAAACTCATGGAGTGATGCGCTTTAGGCACACTATGGGCACGCTTTTTCTCAAAGTGACCTGATTGGTAGAATTTTTTTTCTTTACTCAAAAATGATTTTAGTGTATTTTAAATGTGGGTCAAGACTGGCCAAACTCACATGGCCCACTTATCAAAATTTTAAATCTGGGCCAAATACTACGTTTTTCATCTGGCCCAAATCTTGTGTGCTGCCTTAAAAACGGTGCCACCTCTGCCAAACCCGGGCCATTTTTGGCCCACATGCTGTATGCCAGTGCCGGATGAATGCCTGCTGTGCCAGCTTTTTGCCAAATCTGGGCCAGAATTCTTTGCTACTAGGGTAATCATCACCACATGTTACACAGCCATCTAAATAAATAAAAAAATCTTCTGGAAAACATTCCGGAAACATTTGAGCCTGATTTGTCGAGCTTGTTCTGTGTTCTTACCGTAGTTTGGGCAGCACACTTTGAGCCAGCACACGCAGGACAGTACCGTCAGATTGCTGAGGCTGCAGAGGCCGAACAAAACTCCACAGAAGGCATAACACATGCACATCACCTCCGTAAACAGCCACCTGAAAAGAGATATAACATCAGTCTGTTTACCCTCAATGCTAGGGTAAAAGTACTGGGAATATCTTGTTATGTCACTTGTTACAACCGAGGTATGCAGAAGACCACATCTAAATGGTAAGGTCAGAATTTGGCATTAATAACATGAAAGCATGGATCCATACAGCCTTGTATCAAAGGTTCGGGCTGGTGGTGGTGTTGTAATGGTGTGGGAGATATTTTCTTGGCACTCTTTGGGCCCATTAGTACCAATTGTGCATCGTGTCAATTCCACAGCCAACTTGATTATTGTTGCTGACCATGTCCATCCCTTTATGACCACAGCGCACCAATCTTCTGATGGATACTTCCAGCAGGATAATGCGCCACGTCATAAAGCATGAAAATTATCTCAGACTGGTTTCTTGAACATGACAATGAGTTCACTGTACTCAAATGGCCTCCAAAGTCACCAGAACTCAATCCAATAGAGCACCTTTGGGATGTGGTGGAATGGGAGATTTGCATCATGGATGTGGAGCCGACAAATCTGCAACAACTGTGTGATGCTATCATGTCCATATGGAGGCAAAATCTCTGAGGAATATTTCCAGTACCTTCTTGAATCTATGCCATGACAGAATTTGTTTTGAAGGCGTACCTAATAAAGTGGCCGGTGAGTGTAATTGTTTTTTTTTTTCACTTCAGCTACAATCTGAAATATGTGTTCTTTAAAATGACACCAAGCCTAAATCTGTGGCAAAGCATTTGATTGGCTTTCGTTTAAGTTGAACACGCAATTTTCATGTCTCTATGTTTAAAAACGGGTTAAAATCAACACAAAAACTAAAGGGGAGCCGATGCAAACTTTCCCAAACTGTTCTCAGCGGTATTTTAGACATGCTGCAGTTTATTTAGGTGTATTAGATTTTGAAATGCCTAAAAGCAAAGCAATGCAATGTTCAATGGGGTACAAAATCAAACTGTTCTACTAATATTTCTGCCAGTGTACAGGAAAGCGTGGAGGAGATACGAGAAACGTTCTTGAGGTGAAAAAATGAAGTAACTTAACCTACTGTCGCTACAGTGAAAGATCTTACTTGTGAGCGAAGGCAGAGGGAATAGCGAAGGGGAAGAGGAAGACTGTCATGCCCAGATCGCTGATGGAGAGGTTGATGATGAAGAGCTCCGCCGGTTTTAGAGACGATTTCTTACGATAAGCGACAAACAGCAGAGTGGAGTTTCCCATCAAAGAAAGCACACCTAAAAAAACCAAACAAGACAAAATAAATAAGAGAAAGTCATCAAAAAGACAAAGAAATAATAAAAATAATACATAATAATAAAAACTAACAAGAAACAATAATGATAGTAATAATGATAATAAATAATATAAGCGGTTTAAACAGTTGTGTGGTAAAAGTCTGTGAATATAAGCAGCTTCTAATGGTAAAAATGTATTCATTAATTTTTTTATAATCACTCTTGATTAAAAACTTTGCAGAAACACTGTAATTAATATTTTCCCTTAGTACATATCATCAGAGGAGGAAAGCCCCGCCCATTATTGACGATCGCTCCCTCATTAGCATAGGATTTAGTCTTGATTTTGAACAACCCAGGCTCTTTGCAGATACATAACCAGGTCTACATTTTTTGGGAACAGTGAAATACGTAACCTAAAAGCCCGTGCACACTGAGACGTTTTTTTGCTCGCTTTTTCCGTCGACGTTTAACGCCTCGTGACTAAATAAAGGGCGTCAATGTGATTGTGCACACCAACGCGCAAAACGGCAGGTGCAAAAGCGTCATAATAAAAAGCCTTATGCTCGTTTTTTTTTGTTTTGACGCGCCGTGTCAAAACCTTCTCCACCAATCAGATTGACCCCTTTTGTTCAAGTGCACGGAGCTGCTGAAGTTACAGTGAACAGCACTTGGAGGCGCTCAAGCGCAAAACTGTCAATGCGAGCGCACACTGAAGAAGATGCCCAGAGGCGATGTGAACGTGGACCTGCTTATTGCACTGGTGAACAATAATCATTTTCTTCAATCGCTAGAGTTGGAGCTGCTACTTGAAGCATCCATAACAACAAGCGTGTCAACTTTGTCTTCGTATTCTGTGTTACAAGCGGGTGTCAGAAACTTAAAGGCGTGTAGAAGTGATTCTGCATACTCTGTTTGACGCCAGTGAAAATCGCTGGGGTTTAAATCCAGAAAAACGTTTTGAAAAACGGTGACGCTAAACACAAACGAAAAGTATCCCGGTGTTTACGAGCCTTTAGGTACAGGGCTGAATTAACCAATGGGCATTATGGGCACAGGCCCAGGGGCCCCTGCGAGGGGGGAAAAATGCCGATTTTGGAGTGTCTATTTAGGCTAAGCGCAGATAGCACACCTCCTTGGAAAGAGCTAGCTAAGTGATTCACACCTATCACCGTTTAATTGACAGTGATAACATAAGTATTGAGCGCAAATGACAGCAGCGTGAATGGCGTAGCTCGTAAAGCGCATGTTTTGACGCAATCGATCGTGAACCCGGTTCAAATCCAGCATCTGATGAACTGATGATCTTCTTTTTTCCCCCACTACATATCCGATTTTGCCTACTCTTCATCACGAGGAAGACAAGTAGGAATCATTAATAAGTGTGTGTATTATGGAGGACTCGGATTCATTGAACTGGATTGGAGAGGTGTTATCCAAATCACATGTATTATAAGTTTGTAGAAGTTATACATTAAAAATACCCTTAAATAATACATTTTTTTTAGAACTGCTATAGTGAACTTGAACAAGTATTTTAAAATCCATTAATTTCCCCTAGTTGTATTAGTATTTTTTTTTTTCAAAGTGTGCTTTAAATGCTTTCAAAATTAGTTAAATCTCTGTAGACTAGACATATATGTACTGTATATCATTTACTTTAAAAGTGCAGCCAATACATTATAGATTCATTGTATTTAACAAGTATTATTTTAATCTTATTTTTTAATTCAACTATATTAAAGACCAGGTAGGGGGCCAAGGGGCCTCTGAATTCTTAATCCGGGCCTGCTTAGGTATGTCTGCCTATAGTTTTTGTGCTTGCAAATCCACCAAAGGCCAGTGTGTATGCTTTTTGACGATCACAAAATCCTCTCACACGTCCTCTTCTTGTGTAAGTCCACCAGAGGGCGCAATATACACTTCAGCCGACCAGGGGTGCGTTTCCCAAACAACGGCGTTACTCACGGCTGAACTATCATAGTATGATGCATCGTTTGGGAAAAGAATGATGTAGTGACGAGTGTTTCCCAAAACCCGTAGTTTCTCCGTCACAGATCCATCGTTTGTACCATGTTAGTTATAACTTAAAACGCCTATAATGATGCTCTAAACGCGGTGATAACAACTTCTTTAGAGAAATACTCTCATTTTAAACTTACCAAAGATGGAGTAGATGGTTCCCAGGAGCAAATCATTCTCTTTGGATATTTTGGACTGAAACAGGTCAGTTTCAGACGAGTTTTCCATCTGCACAGAGGAAGACCAACACATAAGAGCAGTCGAGCAGCATCGATTTCTTTTATCTTCCTTCCTCTTTTAAATGTTAAAGTTGTCGCGTTCTGCTTTTCCCCAGAATTGATCAATGTATTGTCATTAGCGCTTGCTTTAGACTAAAGATGAGGCGCTCTCCGGAAACCAGACTCTCAGTGTACACAACGTGAACAAATACATGGACTCAACACATACACACACACACACAGAGGGGGTCGCCACAGTGGAATGAACCGCCAACTCATCCAGCATATGTTTTACACAGCGGATGCCCTTCCAGCTGCAACCCATCACTGGGAAACATCCATTCACACTATACCCAAATTCAGCCTACCCAATTCACCTATAGCACACGTCTTTGGATTGTGGGTTAGCCCGGAGCACCTGGAACGGCATCCGCTGCATAAAACAAATGCTGGATAAGTTGGCGGTTCATTCCACTGTGTCGACCCCAGATTATTAAGGGACTAAGCCGAAAAGAGAATGAATGAATGAATTGTTAATCAACATAAACTGTTAGTAGCATGTTCGCCTTACAACAAGAAGGTCGCTTGTTCGAGCCTCGGCTGGGTCAGTTGACATTTCTGTGTGGCGTTTGCATGTTCTCCGCATATTCATGTGGGCTTCCTCCGGGTGCTCCGGTTTTCCCCACAGTCCAAAGACATGTGCTATAGGTGAATTGGGTATGCTAAAAAGGACCATAGTGTATGAGAATGAGTGTGTATGGATGTTTCCCAGTGATTGGTTGTATGAAAGGGCATCTGCTGCATAAAAAAACATATGCTGGATAAGTTTGCGGTTCATTTTGCTGTGGTGACCCCTGATTAATAAAGGGACTAAGCCAAAAATAAAATGAATGTTTGAACATTAACTGTGTGCGTTTTTCTTGTGCTCATTATTTAATATAGGCTCCCTCAAAACACACAGGCACACACAAGATGGACTTCCAGTGTGGATTATAATTTTATTATAATAATAAATGACTTTATTTTTAATTTTTATTTTTTTACATTTTTTTATTTGTCGACTCTCATTATTTTCTATAAATGGCGTTTGTGCTTTTACAGAATAGGAGTTGGTAAACATATTCAAGGGCGTGCACAGATGGGCAGCATTTTGATTGTACAGTTGAAGTCAGAATTATTAGCCCCCCTGAATTATTAGCGCCCCTGTTTATTTTTTCCCCCAATTTCTGTTTAATGGAGGGAAGATTGTTTCAACACATTTCTAATCATAATAGTTTTAAAAATGTATTTCTAACAACAGATTTATTTTCTCTTTGTCATGATGACAGTAAATAATATTTTACTTGATATTTTTCAAGACTCTATACAAGACTTCTATACAGCTTAAAGTGACAATTAAATGCTTAACTAGGTTAATAAGGTTAATTAGGCAGGTTAGGGTAATTAGGCAAGTTATTGTATAACAGTAGTTTGTTCTGTAGATTATCGAAAAAAAAAAAAATTAGCTTAAAGGGGCTAATAATTTTGTCCCAAAAATGTTTTTAAAAAAATTAATAACTGCTTTTATTCTAGCTGAAATAAAACAAACCAGACTTTTTCCAGAAGAAAAAATATTATCAGACATACTGTGAAAATTTCCTTGCTTTGTTAAACATAATTTGGGAAATATTTAAAAAAGAAAATAAAAATCAAAAGGGGGCAAATAATTCTGACTTCAACTGTATGTAGTGGGCCGCTCTGGCCCAAAATGTCAGGGCTGATTTTTGGTCCCAGTTCAGCGCTAAAGCTTGATAGTGTGTTGGTTTGGTGGATCTAGAATTACACATAGACGCTACATCCTTTACCTCTGCTGTGGTTTAAGTGGACGATAGAGGATATTCAGAGGCAGCAGCACTTCCACTGCGCTCTCATTACCAACACATTTGCCTTCCTCCTCTTTCATCTTTAGCCTGCGGCTGCTGACCCAGAGGAATAAATCACACACAACAAATCTTCCAGCGCTGCACATCCGCCCTCTTAGCCCACGGCAACATTTTTTATTATACAAAATATCACTTTTGATATCAGGAACGTTTGTATGCATCCTACAACCAACAAATCAGCAATGCCTGTTCTGAAATGCCAACAACTGCTGCTTTGATTAATGGATGTGCGGGTGCGCTGTCAGAGTGATGCACTTGAAGACTTCCACACTGAAGGACAGCCATGCATCCTGCCATTCAAGTCACTTTCCACATCCACAAGCAGTACAAATGAGATGACTAAACATCTGCCTGTAATCCAGCATCTCATGATATCATTACTCCACAGCCTTAGATTACAAATGCCTTCTTACCACTAATGGAACGTCTCTCTGCTTTTATTAGATCAGTTGTCTGTGCGTTCGCTTTGAGTTTCGCTGCTGGGTGACTTTGAGTGAAAACAATTCATTCATTCATTCATTTTCTTGTCGGCTTAGTCCCTTTATTAATCCGGGGTCGCCACAGTGGAATGAACCGCCAACTTATCCAGCAAGTTTTTACGCAGCGGATGCCCTTCCAACCGCAACCCATCTCTGGAAAACATCCACATTCACACACACACTCATACACTACGGACAATTTAGCCTACCCAATTCACCTGTACTGCATGTTTTTGGACTGTGGGGGAAACCGGAGCACCTGAAGGAAACCCATGCGAAGGCAGGGAGAACATGCAAACTCCACACAGAAACGCCAACTGAGCCGAGGTTCGACCTAGCAACCCAGCGACCTTCTTGCTGTGAGGCGACAGCACTACCTACTGCGCCACTGCCTCGCCCTGAGTGAAAACAATTCATTCATTTCTACACAACCAGTCTGTTGAGCAGAGGACCTTTAATGCGCTGCATGTAGTCTGTCCTCTGAATAGTTTGTTTAATCCTTGATGAACTGAATTACTAGTTTAAACTGATTATCAACATTTTATATATGTCGGCTACTGTAAGTAATTCTTATATTATGCTATGTGAGTGATTCAGTGATGGAGTTTGCATGTTCTCCCTGTGTTGGTGTGGGTTTCCTTCGGATGCTTCGTTTCCCCCACAGTCCAAACACATGCGCTGTAGGTGAATTGGGTCAACAAAATTCTGCATAGTGTGCGAATGCAAGAGTGTATGGGTGTTTCTCAGTAATGGGTTGCGGCTGGAAGGGTATTGGCTGTGTAAAGCACATGCTGGAACAATTGGTGGTTCATTCCGCTGTGGTGACCCCTGATAAATAAGGGACTAAACAGAGGGAAAATAAGTGCGGTTTATTCATAAACTAATTTCGAGAGGATCACGTGCTTATGATCAACATGGCTGGCTCCTTATTAGCTCCGTAATCTGCCCCATAGATGATTACGGAAGCATTATAAATAATCTGAGTTTTACACTCCAGTTATCTTCGTCTTCTAACGGGAGGGAGCCCCGGGCTCGAGGATATTACAAGCTCAGGGCTCTCTCCCGGGACAGCATGCCAAATACGCTTTGATTATCAGCTAAGTGTGAACTCTTGAAATGAATGAATGATTAAGTATTTTCTTTTTAAAGGCCACCATTCATGAAAAATCAAGTTTGGAATCTGTTTGGACAGAAATGTGTGTAGGGACAGTGTGTCCACAGTTATATTGGAGTAATATAAACACAACAAGTCTCTTTACTGACAATAAAATATGATCCAAGCATACCAGTTATCATATGTCCTAGATCATGAGGTGTTTAATAGCAACATTGGCAGGAAAATATACATTTAGATTTCAAAGAAAATATCTTAATATTAAAAAGGAATCATAAGTTTGATCCTATCAATGCCATAATGAATTACTTTAAATAATGTAGCCTAGTTGCCTTTTAAATAATTAATAATAATAATTCCTTACACTTATATAGCGCTTTTCTGTGCACTCAAAGCGCTTTACACAATGGGGGGGATCTCCTCATCCACCACCAGTGTGCAGCATCCACCTGTAAGACGCGACGGCAGCCATTTTGCGCCAGACCGCACACCACACACCAGCTGATTGGTAGAGAGGAGACAGTGATGAAGCCAATTGAATATGGAGATGGTTAGAAGGCCATGATGGACAGAGACCAGTGGGCAGATTTGGCCAGAATGCCGGGGTTAAACCCCTACTCTTTTCGAAGGACATCCTGGGATTTTTAACGACCACAGAGAGTCGGGACCTCGGTTTATCGTCTCTTCCGAAAGACGACGCTCACTGAGCAGTATATCGTCCCCGTCACTATACTGGGGCATTAGGACCCACACAGACTGCAGGTTGGGCGCCCCCTGCTGGCCTCACTAACACCACTTCCGGTAGCAACCTAGCTTTCCCATGTGGTCTCCCATCCAGGTACTGACCGGGCGCAGCCCTGCTTAGCTTCAGTGGGCGACCATGAGAGATTTGCAGAGAGCTAGCTGCCGGCTAATGATTAATGATGAACAGACTATTTCTGTCAATTCACATCCCGTCCCTTTGTGCCCCCTCCCTGTCTTCATAGTCGTAAACTGCGGTTATACCTAAAAAACACGTTCTTTCTCCTTTACAGCGGCGGCGGTACAAGGTGCGGCGGTAATGGCCATATTAAAGTGTCACCTACTGTATGTTTTTGATTGTTTAATACAAGAAGACACTGTTTTACTGTTGTTCAGTCACATTCAAGTGAAGCTTATAGCTTTAGACCTTCTAATTGCATTTTTTATGTTATGTCTTAGAATGAATAGCTTTTTGTCGTAAAAGCCTTTGGATGAAAGCAACAGCTAAATGAGTGAATGTAAATGCACCCATGTGTTTTGACATTTTTCCCCTGATTAGTTTTTCTGTGAATTACAGGAAATTACATTAGAGTGTAAGCACAATTTTTTCCCCAGCTTGCAGCCTAGCACACAGTTTATGTTAAAGAGCTTTCAAAGGCTTTCTTTCCATGTTTCCAAAAGCCCTCTTTTAAATTCTCCTCCAGTTTTCATTTTTCTTCCTGCATAGAAGCAAGTGGCGGCTCAGAAACATTAG